TCTAACAATGCTAAATAATAATTTCATCAAAGGTGATGAGAAATTATTTTGAGACACCACTGTCATAGAAGAATCACAAGTACTACCCCCAACATACTTCACTATTTGTTCATGAGTAATATCACCAATTTGCGCAGTATGTTTGTGCTTAAAATAGTCACAATAACCAACATTAGGAACACTAAACAATTTTGCTAAATATTGTGCATCGAAAGACAGAGAAGTACCATTCACCTTACTTGTACAAACACCATTCACACAACAAAAATTAAGCACAAATTCATTGACGGCACCCGGAATTAAGGGTTTCTTTGCATGAACATTTAATAATTGAACCCAACCTTGAAACTCTAGTATATCAAGTAGTTCCGAAAACTTACTAGATTGACACCATTCCAAGTTTAAAGCAAAACCCCGAGTAAGACGATCGGCTTTGAGTGTGAGTGCTTTTAAACGCTCCTTAGCTTCCCCCTTAGATGGACCACCATCTATCTTTCGTCTCTTGGTTGTGCGGTTAGTGGAATTTGGGGAAAAACTAGGTTCGATCGATTGAGGTTTTGTATTTTCCGATGTATTTGCCGGTTTTGATACGGGATTGGTTGTTTGTGTAGAGGAGTACGGAGATGCATCCATCGAAGTCGGTGAGTCCGTAGATGGTGAAGAGGTACGGGGTCTTTTCTTTGATTGGTGAGGGAGTGGGGTGTTGTTACTTGTTCTTGCCATTGAAGAGTGTTGGTGTGTTTTACAGAGGAGAGATAAAAAGAAAGGGGTAAAAGGTGTTGGGAAGAAGAAAGGTTATGTGGCTGAGGTAATAAGTAAAGGAGTTTGAGTGGAATAAGGTCATAAGAATGCCTTAGACTTGTAATATAGTCTGACAAAAGATTTCTAACTCTTCGATTTTTTTTTTAATAAGATTAAAAGATGGAACACAAAAAAATAAAATTAAATTAAAGATAAGTTTTAGAAGAGGTCTTTGGCCATGTTTATTGATAACTTGTTATTTGGCATGATTTTAGGGTACTTTTGAACCTTGTTTTCGTTATTAATCGACATCAAAGTTCATTTTTTATCCTATTTTTATGCAAATTTTGTACCATCCATGCTTCACCGGTTGTTTGTGTTTTTGATGTAATGTAGCTATTTTTAGCACTATGAACATGATCAAGCATGAGTGAGCAAGGATAAGGGCAAACTTGGTTGATAGAGCCATGGAGGAAGAAGGAGGAATGCCTTAAAGGGAAATGAAAAGCTTTTGGAGAACCTTGAAAGGTCGTTTGCGTAAGCGTCAACTTCAACCAATCATAACTTTTGATCTTATCAACCTTTTGAAGCGATTCAAATTGGAGATTAAAGTTCGTCTCAAGAGCTTTCCAACGACTGGTCACAAGTCCATTTCCGACAAGAAACGTAGAAGTTAAAGCTTCCCAAAGTTAAGCAGTCTAGGCAGGGCATCCTGCACGGACGTGCAAGATGATAGCACGTCCGTGCAAGTCTGCACGTCCGTGCCAAAAGCTGCACGTCCGTGCAGACCTTGGCAGAAGCTTCTGCCTCCATTTTGGCCCTCCTGCACGTCCGTGCCAAACTTGGCACGGCCGTGCTTAGCCTTGCACGTCCGTGCCAAATATGGCACGTCCGTGCAGACCTGCAGTCGAACTCCTTCCTTGTTTTCTCCGTCCTTTTTATTTGGGGGTCATATAAATACCCCTTTAGAGCTCATTTGTACGGGAAGGCAGTTTTTTTAGAGCTTTCCTCTTAGTTTGTAGTCTTAGAACATTAAATTCTCAAATCATTAGTTAGTTCTTAATTTTTAGCGTGGAAGCATTCAAATTCAATCATTGTAGAAGACAAAATCCACCATTGTTGCTCACTTTGAAGCTTCATAGTAACCATTTCTTACTCATCTTTTCTACTTCTCTTTACTTTGTTGTTGATTAATTGCTTAATTCTTGCATGCTTAGATTGTTAATTAGCTTAATCCTTAGTTTGAACTTGTTCATGAATTGCTTGAAACCTCTAATTGCTTTAACCTCCATGGATTGTGAGTAGTCTAAATTCTAGGGTTTGGGTAAAACCCTCAATGTAGTCACTAATTACTTGTTGCATGTGCTAATTTGGTTGTCGTGGGATGATAATTAGTTGAGTTTAAGTGGTTTAATTGCTTAGTTCTTGTATATGGCCATTGCTAGAACTATTTATCCAAGCTTTCTCAACGAAGGATCGAGAGATGAACTTGAGTTAGCTCCCTTTATGCTTAATTGACCCGAAATGCCATGAGAATAGGGATTACCGGTCAAGGGAATGTTTATGTCATCGTGATTATGCTTTAACACTTGTTTTATGCTATGTAACCACGAGAGTAGGTTGTATTCACGATTCAAGTAATCCCTCTAGCTTGAGAGAGTAGTTGGGTGCTTTAGACGACTTCTCCTAATTTGTCACATTAATTTACCTTGATTGTAGCATGCTAATTGTGATTTGTGATGAAGTTGAGTGGTATAACCTGAGCCCTAGATTCCTCTTAATATTGTTAATCTCCTCTTCGCTTTAGTTGAGTGGAATTAGAAGAAGTTACTCAAAACCAACCCAATTTAGAATTCATTTAGCTTATTTAAACGGTAGTACTCGGTGGTTGATTCAACGCCTCTCTTGGGTTCGGCCCTTTCTTACCCTTACTATTGTTAGTGAGACCAAGATAGAAATTATTATCTTTGGTAGGCTGATAGGCCGTCGTCGAGCCTACCAAAGATAAAAACCTAACTTGGTCTCTCTATTGGGTAGAAAGGGTAAGTAAGGGTCGATCCCACAAGGACTAAGGGGAGCACTAACAAATATCGATTTGTGATAAGCTAAGTCAAGTCTTTTTGGGTTATGAGTTATGAAGAAAAACTACAAACAATAATAAAAAGGATCTCGGGAAGGTATCCACCAATTAAGTCGTTCACAAACTACAATTTAACATACAAGACATAGCAATTTGGGGATAAAATTAGGGGAAGTCATCTAAGGCACCCAACTACTCACTCAAGCTAGAGGGATTACTTAAATCATGAATACAACCTACTCTCGTGGTTACAAAGCATAAAACAAGTGTTAAAGCATAATCACGATGACATAAACATTCCCTTGATCGGAAATTCCTATTCTCATGGCATTTCGGGTCAATCAAGCATAAGGGAGCTAACTCAAGTTCATCTCTCGATCCTTCGTTGAGAAAGCTTAGATAAATAGTTCTAGCAATGGCCACTTACAAGAACTAACAATGAAACCACTTAAGCTCAACTAATTAACATCCCACATTAGCTAAATCAACACATACAAACAAGTATTTGTGAATTCATCAATGATTTCAACAATCCCAAGTAAAAGAACTACTCACAAATCATAATAAATTGCAAAACTAAAGGAATTAACAACTAAGAACATGAAACAAACACTAATCTAACATAAACAAGTAATTAAGGATGAAAAGATACAAAAATAAGTAAATAGAATAACAAAATAGGAGAGAGAGTAAGAAATTCTCATTGATATTGCAAGGAATATCCAAATCTTCAAGTCTCCTTCCTTCAATTCTTCATATTCCAAGCTTTCAACAAGATTTTCTCACTTTCTCTCTCTAGAAAATGAGAGTTTCTCTCTCTAAAAACCCTAACCTAAGCTAAAAATAAACTAAGAATATCCCCCCCTTACAAATAAAGCTAAAGGGATATTATATAACCCCCAAGTAAAAGGACGGAGAAACCAAGAATCGGCCCGTCTACAGGTCGGCACGGACGTGCCAAAGGTTGCACGGACGTGCAGACCTGTTAAAATGAGAACAATAGCTACTGCCTGACCTTGCACGGACGTGCATCAATTGGCACGGACGTGCATCAATTGGCACGGACGTGCATCAATTGGCACGGACGTGCAGCTTTTTCTAGCGAAACAGCTTCATTTCGGAAGGTCAGAACTTCTTCATTACTCATTGGAATAAGGCATGTAAGAAGTCGTTGGATAGCTCTTGAGATGAACTTTAATATCCAATTTGAATCACTTCAAAAACTTGAGTAGAAAAAAAGTTATAGTCATTTGAAGTTGACCTTAGTGAAAAAATCCTTCCAAAACCCTTCCAAATGCTCTTATTTCACTCTTGTACACTTTTCCTTGCTTCTTTCATTCTTCCATAGCTCCCTTATTTCCTCTTCTTGTCTCCAACTTCTTTTCTTCTTTGTCCAAAACCTTCAAAGTGCCATATTTATACCTAAATATGCACCAAAACACTAGCAAACCCGTGAAGCATATGATACACAAAAAATGCATAAAAATAGAGTAATTAGTGAACTAAGCATTGATTTCCCACAATTCTAAGGCTCAAAATCACTTTAAAATCATACAAAATAACAGGTTATCATAGGCTCGACGACGGCCTATCAAATTTTGGCGTCGTTGCCGGGGAGGCAAAGTCACATTGAATGTATTATTGTCGAATGAGACTAGATGTGTGTATATGTATAGTAGTTTTCTTACCTTAATTTTTGTTTATGTGTGTTTAACTTGCGATAGTCATTGCTAACGTTTTTCTTAGCTTTGTTTGACTTTGCATGACACGAAAGAGTAAGCAATCACCGCTTATTCCCGTTGATCCAGAGCTAAATAGGACTTTGAGAAACGTGAGGAGACTCTTGCAAGGCACACCCGAGTTTTCCATTGTATATTCGGATTTCGATCCGGAAGAGGTTTTTGGAGCTAACGAAGAAGATAACATGGGAGAGAATCCTCCTCAACCATTGTTAAGAGACTATGACCACCCCAACAAATTCCAACTTCGGAGTGGCATACGTCTTCCCACCACGAATGCAAACAACTTTGAGCTTTCACCTCAACTCATCCGCATGATTCAAAGCGATCAATTTAGGGGTAGTCCTTATTAGTGTCCTTTTGCTCATTTGGACAACTTTCTTGAATTGTGTACAACTATCAAGCAAAACAACATTTCGGAAGAGTTTATTCGGATGCACATGTTTCAATTCTCCCTTCGAGACAAAGCAAAGCATTGGTTGAGAACGGTTGAAGAGGGATCGTTGAGTACTTGGGATGAGGTGACTAGAGCTTTTCTTGGGAAGTATTGCCCTCCCGAGAAAACCGCTGAATTAAGACGGAAGATCACAAACTTCAACCAAGAGGTTGATGAAACTTTGAGTGAAGCATGGGAGCGGTTCAAAGATTATACTAGAGCATGCCCTCACCACGGTTTCACCTCATGGATCATAGTGCAAAGCTTCTATGATGGTCTTACTCCTACCTCAAGGGCCAACCTTGATTCGGGAGCCGGAGGTAGCCTTAAAAAGCTATCGGTTGACGAGGCCTACAAAATGATTGAGGAAGTGGCTAAGCATTATGCTTATGGAGGTGATAAAAGGCAAGGTCAACCCAAGAAGGGCGGTAAGCATGATCTTGAAGCAATAGATCTTATTGCTTCAAAGGTTGATATGTTAGCTCGAAAGCTAGATCAAGTGAACAATGTGCCCGGTAGCTCCTCCCCACAAGTCATGTCTTGTGAGACTTGTGGAGGAAATGACCACTTGGCATCCTATTGCAACACTACAACGGAGCATGTGGCTTCACTTGGTAGGAATGATCCTTACTCCCAAACTTTTAACCAAGGTTGGAAACAACATCCAAATTTTGGGTGGAAACAACCCAATCAAGCTCCCCCTCCTCAAAACAATTACAACCAAGCTCCTCCTTACAATCAACCCCCTCCACAACAAAAAGCTCCCTATCGCCACCCCAATCAAAGAGACAATGTCCAACAAAGACCCCAATAAAATCAAGCCCCTCCTCCTCCAAAATCCAACATTGAATCCGTTTTGGAAACCTTCATGACCCAACAAATCAAGATCAATGGGGAAGTTAGTAGCTCAATTCAACAACTCCAAGCACACAACAAGATGATTGAAAGTCAATTATCTCAAATTGCACAACAAGTTGGGTGCACCTCTAACCCCGGTGGTCAATTTCCAAGCACAGCGGTAATGAATCCAAAAGAGCAAGCGAAATCAATCACCTTGATTATGGAAGGGGGGTATGAAACTCCAATTATGAGAGAAAATGTTGCCAAAAAGGGAGATGAGGGAGAGGGTAGATGAAAGTGAGTTTGAAAATGAAGTGAGTGAGGAGGCGAGAGGAAGGTCAAAAATGAGTGATGAGGGTGCCTCAAAGAGAGATGAGGGAGAAGTGAAGATTCAAGCTCCATTGAGAGCATATGAGACTCATATTCCATTCCCTCATAGAATGATAGAGAAGAAGCTAAATGAGAAACTTTCTAAGTTCCTTGATGAAATGGAAGGACTTCAATCAAACATTCTACTTCTCCATGCTTTGTCTCAAATGCCTACATATGCAAAGTTTTTGAAAAATATTCTTTCTAACAAGAGTAGGCTTGAGGAGAGTGATTCTATCTCTCTTCCAACGGAGATAAGCGATATTCCTCAAAATGAGCTTCCCGAGAAGTTTGGTGACCCCGGTAGTTTTGCTATACCGGTTAAGGTTAGAGATCTTGAATCAACAAATGCTTTGTGTGATCTTGGGGCTAGTGTTAGCCTTATGCCTCTCTCTATGGCAAAAAGATTAAATCTTGGGGAGATTAGCCCCACCAAAATGTCAATCCAACTAGCCGACCGCTCGGTTAAAGTCCCATTGGGAGTCTTGAAGGACATCCCAATTCAAGTGGGGAAGGTTCTTGTGCCTTGTGATTTTGTAATCATGGAGATGGATGAGGATTTCAAAATTCCTCTCATATTGGGTAGGCCCTTTTTGAAAACCGCGGGTGTTAATATTGACATGAAACAAGGGCGGCTTACCTTACATGTTGGGCATGAAAGAATCTCTTTCTCATTTCCGGAAACGTTGAATGACCCCATGGTTAAACAAGTTCATCGGGTTGATTTTTTGGTTAATATTTTGAAAGAAGACATGGAGGAGTCACAAGATGAATCGACTCATGCTCCGGAGGTGAAAAAGCAAGATAGGGCCAAGAAGAAAAAGAAAAACAAGATCAAGTTGATAGACAAGATGTTTGGTTGCATTTCTAGTGATGATAGCAATGTGATTATTTTGCCTAAGGAAAATGGCAAGTGTGTGGGAACAATGAGATGGGTCAAAAAGGTGTGCCTTGACCCTCCCTAATTTTGGATAGCGCAATGTCGTCAAGCTAGTGACGTTAAAGAAGCGCTTCCGGGAGGCAACCCGAATATTTTTGTAGTGGATTAACTTAAAAAAAAAAGAAAAAAAAAGAAGAAAAAAAAAACAGCACAAAGTGCATGTCTTCCAACAACAACCAACAGGAACAAAGGTACCAAGGAAGTTCAAGCGTCGAAGAAAACCCGATCCTTGAGTTAGTCTTCTTTCTCCTTTTTTTTTATGAGCTTTTATTGCTTAACATTGAGGACAATGTTTATGATAACTTTGGGGGAGTCATTTGCATGCCTTCTTGACATGTTGGTTTGTTTGGTTGTGTTTGTTTTGGTTGTTTCATTTCCCTAATATCCAAGGCCCTTAATCCAATTTAGCTTCCTTGAAATCCAAACCTCTTGTCATGTGAATATTAGTGTTCCCTCTCTAGTTAGTAATGTGAATATTTTTGCTTTCTCTTCAAAAAAAAATGATGAAAAAATTGAAAAATGAAAAAAATAAAATTCCCAAGGTTGAGACTCAAATGACAATGTTTATATGTTTTTCTTGCTTGACTCTTGAGCGATGAGTACTAGTTCTCTTAGAAGGGTGTATGCAAGAGATGGGGTCATTTAGAGGTCTATTAATCTTGATTGCATTAGTGTATATGAAATGAAAGCCAATGAATGCTCAATTGCACACCCAGTATAGAATATTGTCTAATTCGCTCAAGTAGGATATGTTTGAATTGAATTGCGGTCTCTTGTGCCCTTAATGTGCCTCCTTTCCTCCCCGAAATGAAACTCTATTAGGGAATTGGTTATATTTGTAACATGTGTAATAAGTGGCATAATAAGTCACATGTTCTTAATAAAAGAAAGAGCCGCTCACAGTTAAAAGAGGCGAGAGCATTGAAAGTTGAAAAAAAAAAAGAAGAAAAGAAGAGCATAGAACAATGAATAAAAAGGGACACTCTCGAAAATTATCAAAATTTTCTTCTTTAGAGGTCAACTAGTGGATGCCTCCCACACCTTGTTTACATCATTGTTTCTTATGAAATTCCCGAGTTAGAGTGTAGTTAAGAGGCCTTGGGTGTGCATTTTGGTAAGTGGACTAGCATTTTGAGATTTTATAACCGAAAAAGGGCTTGTTGAAACTTTGGAATATCTAGGTGTGCTTTAATGAACTAGTAAAAGGACTAAAGAATTATCCTAGTGCAATCTTGCTTAGTCCTCCTCTTTACCCCCAACTCATGTGCACATTTGTATGATTGGTAATTCTTGAAAGTCGCTCATTTGTCTTGCTTGCGATTTGTATCTCGATGAGTTGACTTGGGTGATAATAACATCGGAACTTGTGTAGTTTGATAGTTTTGTTGTGGTTTGTGTGAGTTGTGGGTTAAGCTCAATGGAAACCCTCACGAGATAAAAAATCGTCCTCTAAGGCGACTTAGAGGTTTAAATTGCTTCTCACTTGTGCTAAAAGTGATGATGGCTGTCACCATGCGGATTTGTGTATTTATGCTTCCTCCTTGTTGCCTTTCCTTGGATTGATGTTAGCAAGTCGTTTTCCTCCTTTGATTCGACATGTTTGTTTTGCTCGAGGACGAGCAAAAGCTTAGCTTGAGGGGATTTGATAACTTGTTATTTGGCATGATTTTAGGGTACTTTTGAACCTTGTTTTCGTTATTAATCGACATCAAAGTTCATTTTTTATCCTATTTTTATGCAAATTTTGTACCATCCATGCTTCACCGGTTGTTTGTGTTTTTGATGTAATGTAGCTATTTTTAGCACTATGGACATGATCAAGCATGAGTGAGCAAGGATAAGGGAAAGCTTGGTTGATAGAGCCATGGAGGAAGAAGGAGGAATGCCTTAAAGGGAAATGAAAAGCTTTTGGAGAACCTTGAAAGGTCGTTTGCGTAAGCGTCAACTTCAACCAACCATAACTTTTGATCTTATCAACCTTTTGAAGTGATTCAAATTGGAGATTAAAGTTCGTCTCAAGAGCTTTCCAACGACTGGTCACAAGTCCATTTCCGACAAGAAACGTAGAAGTTAAAGCTTCCCAAAGTTAAGCAGTCTAGGCAGGGCATCCTGCACGGACGTGCAAGATGATAGCACGTCCGTGCAAGTCTGCACGGACGTGCAGCTTGCACGTCCGTGCCAAACTTGGCACGGCCGTGCTTAGCCTTGCACGTCCGTGCCAAATATGGCACGTCCGTGCAGACCTGCAGTCGAACTCCTTCCTTGTTTTCTCCGTCCTTTTTATTTGGGGGTCATATAAATACCCCTTTAGAGCTCATTTGTACGGGAAGGCAGTTTTTTTAGAGCTTTCCTCTTAGTTTGTAGTCTTAGAACATTAAATTCTCAAATCATTAGTTAGTTCTTAATTTTTAGCGTGGAAGCATTCAAATTCAATCATTGTAGAAGACAAAATCCACCATTTTTGCTCACTTTGAAGCTTCATAGTAACCATTTCTTACTCATCTTTTCTACTTCTCTTTACTTTGTTGTTGATTACTTGCTTAATTCTTGCATGCTTAGATTGTTAATTAGCTTAATCCTTAGTTTGAACTTGTTCATGAATTGCTTGAAACCTCTAATTGCTTTAACCTCCATGGATTGTGAGTAGTCTAAATTCTAGGGTTTGGGTAAAACCCTCAATGTAGTCACTAATTACTTGTTGCATGTGCTAATTTGGTTGTTGTGGGATGATAATTAGTTGAGTTTAAGTGGTTTAATTGCTTAGTTCTTGTATATGGCCATTGCTAGAACTATTTATCCAAGCTTTCTCAACGAAGGATCGAGAGATGAACTTGAGTTAGCTCCCTTTATGCTTAATTGACCCGAAATGCCATGAGAATAGGGATTACCGGTCAAGGGAATGTTTATGTCATCGTGATTATGCTTTAACACTTGTTTTATGCTATGTAACCACGAGAGTAGGTTGTATTCACGATTCAAGTAATCCCTCTAGCTTGAGAGAGTAGTTGGGTGCTTTAGACGACTTCTCCTAATTTGTCACATTAATTTACCTTGATTGTAGCATGCTAATTGTGATTTGTGATGAAGTTGAGTGGTATAACCCGAGCCCTAGATTCCTCTTAATATTGTTAATCTCCTCTTAGCTTTAGTTGAGTTGAATTAGAAGAAGTTACTCAAAACCAACCCAATTTAGAATTCATTTAGCTTATTTAAACGGTAGTACTCGGTGGTTGATTCAACGCCTCTCTTGGGTTCGACCCTTTCTTACCCTTACTATTGTTAGTGAGACCAAGATAGGAATCATTATCTTTGGTAGGCTCGACGACGGCCTATCATTTACGGAAGAGAATGTTTAGGGGGATAAATAAATCTTTTTGTAAATAATAGAGAAAAATAAAAAATTAGAAGATAAAATATGAGTGAAAAAGATAAATAAAAGATACATGCTACATAACACAACAAGAACTTTAACAAGTCAACATGCTTATTTTTCTAATTTATACGATGAATTTGCACACATAGCAATTAACAAGTACTCATCCTATATGATGATTATTTACCGGATACAACTCTAAATATGCTTTTGCACAATATTTTTATGCTGGATTTTTCATGACACATACTAGTTATTTGAGTCGTACCTGATTAGGAGATTTTCGTGCAATTCAGTGAATTTTTATCATACTGTAGACACCTAAAAATGTCTCCCCAAAACCATACCCGATGATGAACAACCTTTCACCGCCATTATTGGTCGGGTTGAGTATTTAATCTTAGAGTGCTTAAATCCATATTTCCATTTCATAAAATAACCCAACTTCTAGCCCATTTCCCCAAACCATAACTTATTTTCCATTTTTCGTGCCTTTAAACCCAAAATAATTCATTTCGTGTCCTTTAAAATCATTCATTTCGTGTCCTTTTTATAAAAACATTTAATCCAGTTTATTTTGGTCCATAATCTGGGTCCAATGATTTAATAGTTGGATGGGGCTTGAAAATAGCTTTCCAACGATATATTATAAGCCCAAATCCGAGTTATAACGAATAAGTTATGGCCAAAATATTAAACTGAACCCAAACCAAACCTATGCCCACCTTACCTACGACCCAATGATCATGTGGAGGGTCCAAATTATTTAATCCAATTCCTAAACCAATTAGGATTAATTAGAATCTTCTATAAGTTTATAAAAGATCCTAATTATCCTTTTTGAAAAGATAAGATTACAGAATTTGAAATTGAATAAAACTCCTTTTTTTAAAAGTCCTAATTTTATCCGAATTGAAAGACATTCAAAGATAGACAAATATGAATTTTGAGCCTCATAATTATTTATCTGAATTTTATACGATTGGATAGCCCTTGAAATTATCTTTCCAATGATATATTATAATATCAATTCCGAGCTATAACGGAAAAGATATGAATAAAATGTCAAACTCTATCCAAAACTGACATCGTCTCACTATTTCGGTAATATCTTTTGTTATAAAAAATATTTAATCTGATTCTAATTGGGTTAGAAAGTAGACTTCAAGAGCTTTCCAACGATATCTTATTTATCTTATTCTGATTTCTGGATCAAACGATATGATAAAAACAAAAACCGCAAAAACTGTTGTCTATCGCAAGAGTTTTAATACGATTCGAACTCGATCTTTTCTTGATTCTTCAACCCTCTTTTTTCCCTATAAATAGAGGCCATATCACCCCTTTTTTAATCATCAACAAGCTTGATCGTCAAATAATTCTCTTCTCCCTCTTTAGCCTAAACACTAGCCTCCCTATTCTTTTATTATTCCCTTAAGTACTCCAAGGAGCCCATACAATACCCAAAGTTCTATACTTAAACCAAGGCGTGAAAGGTATAATTAACTGAGGGTTTGGACCAAATCAAATCTATCTTTATTTAATTTAATTTTCAATTTTCTTTATATTTTTATTGAAGTTACTAACAGTTTATTCATGATGTAGCAATTTAAAGAAACGCGCAGAATGTTAGTAATTAATTAATTTAATTA